GACCGAGTTAGGTCTTGCCTTGAGGAGGTTGAATTTTGAGCTTGTAAGGCCGAATTGGATCTGGCCCTTAAGACGTCAGATCTTGTAGCAGTTTGGCCGGAAAGGCTTAAAAGTTCGGCCTGTTGAGGCCATTGTTGCTCCGCCATTATAGGGTACAATAATGTATAAGCACGTGATAGTCACGTGCTTTGAGTTAGTCTAATCAATGTCAACTATTTTCCACTTACGTTAATTAAGTTAAGATTAGTAACTAAATCATTCTTGTAATCAAGCTTTTGGTTTCTTCTTTCTTTTAAATGTATGTATACAAACTTGTAATAATTCTTGACTAAATAATACAACCAATTCAATTTATTTCCATTCCTTAATTGCTTACATGGTATTAGAGCAATCTGATTAGGGTTCTTGTTACGTTATGCTCAATTTTTTCTAACTTGATTCTTCTTTTGAGATTGAAATCACAATTTGATCAATTCTGCTTCGTTAATGGAAAACGTATCATCAAAATCAATCATTTTATTCTTAGAGAATCCACATTCCCATTCTTCCTTCACCATACAAATCATCATGGATTTGTAGATGTAAATCTAAAACTTACCTCAAGTAATTACACTTCCTAGAGTTGATCCTTCTTATTGGCTCTGTCGATTTGAACCAAGATTGGATTTCTTGATGGTACAAACCAAGAACCAAAGGCTTCGAAAGATCCAGATGTAACAATTTGATTGTGGGTTAAATGTTGGAATCAATCACATTGTCGATTGCAACCATTGTCTTTTACATGAACTCAATTTCACAAATCACTATATGCCTTAAGCATGCCTTCAAGCAATGGAACTTTAAGTTCATAACTTGTTTGCTTGAGTTTGGGTTCTATCAGTTATAATCTGACTATTCATTATTCAACAAAAGTACAAAAGAAGGTGGTTTCATTGTATTACTAGTCTATGTTGATGATATAGTCATTGCTAGTTCATCTTCTTAACTGGCAATTGAGATGAGAAAGTAGTTGTAGACACATTTTAAACTTCAAGACCTAAAGGCACTTAAGAATTTCCTAGATTTAGAGATTGCAAGCTCAAATAAGGGCATTATTATCTATCAAAGAAAATATATTTTGAACTTTTTGAGTGTATACAGTTTGTTGGGTGCTAAACTAGCTTCTAGCCCCATAAAATACAATAAAAAACTTTCAAATGGTTGCTAATGATAAACAATTGACAAAGGCTTACAAGTATAGACAATTGATAGGCAAGTTACTCTACGTAACCTTCCCTAGACCAGACATAACATATGTTATGCAAACACTATCATAGTTCATGTGAAGCTTGTATGACATTTAGGTGGATGCTTTCACACAAGCCAGCCAAGAACTCAATTATATCTAAGCCATCACAAATTAAAGCTATGAGTTAGCTTACGAAAAGCAATAGAAAAATCATAGGGTAACAAATGCCATATAGGCAATTACTAGTTTCAAGAAAAGGAAAAATGTTTTATTAATAGTAAAAAGGGAATACAAGGGGACCAAGAGTATAAATGCACCATTGTCGGCCCATAGGGACAACCTTAGATGGTTAGCCACAAACATACCTTAACCAGTGGAGAAATCCAACAATTCGTCAACTGTTCACCCCTTATAAAGAGCTAATGAGCTTTTACACTTATATCACCATGAACCATTGCAATGCAAGAAATGGGGATACTCCTTCCCTCAATCGCCTTTTCCCTAAAGACTTAATAAGCTTTTATAAGTACCTTACCAATTAACGTTACATTGTTTGAAATGGAGACATTTCCCCTTAAGGCAACTTAGTTTCCTAGTTAGTTTTATCATGTCATGGCCCTATGCAAAGGTTGGCTCATGACACTAGGCCTTTATTGTTGACAAGCTGTTTATAGAGTGTTAAGATATCTCAAGTCAATGTTAGGACATGGTGTTATGTTTTTAGCTATAGTTTCTTTGAATTTAAAGACCCATGCCAATAGTGATCGGGTGGGGTGTTGTGCTACAAGGAGATCAGCGATAAGTTACGTTGTGTTTCTTGGAGATTCAACTATTAGTTGGAGGTCTAAGAATAGAATGTTGTTTCTAGAAGCTCAATAGAAGTTGAAGTAGATCTATGGCTACAACTTGTTGTGAGGTAATATGGTTGATATTTTTGCGTCAAGACTTTGGTATTAAACACGTAGCAGTTGTGGATCTCTACTGTGATAACTAACTAGCTTTGCGCGTATGCAAAAATCCAACCTCCCATGAAAGGACAAGCACATTGAGAATTCTGGTTGGGTTATTCATCTTAAGTATGTTTCTATCAATCTACAGATAGCTGACTTGTTTACCAACTCGTTATTACCAAGAAAATTTAGCTTGCTGTTAAGCAAGATGAGCATATTGAATACACATGCTCATATTGAGAGAGGGACTATAAAAAATGTATGAGCATGAGATAGTCATATCCTTTAGAGTTAATTAGTCAATTTGGTCACAGTAAACTATTTTCCATTTCTGTTAATTAAGGTAAGATTAGTAATACTCGTTCTTGTATGGTTTCTTCTTTTTGTCAAATGTATATATACGAGCTTGTAATCATTCTTCAAATAATACAACCAATTTAGTTTATTTCCATTCGTTAATTGCTTACATGGGGCTTGATCATTACAATATTTATAGATGGATGCCGTTGACAACCTCTCTCTTTATTAAAATTTTAACCTTTTTTACATGATATTTTGTGATTTATTTCTAGTTAATATTTTGAAGATATTTTTTTCTCAATTAGTATTTTATAAATAAGTTTTGATCTCACAAGAGTTAAATTGTTAATTTTTTTGATAAAATTAAGAATTAATCTATATGTTCATAATTTAAAGATTTTTTTATAATTTTAGTAAGTATATAAAATTAATAATTTAACCTTTATGAGAATGAAAAATTGTTCACAAAATGTTAATCGAGAAAATTTTTTTTATAAGGTGTTAAATTAAAAAAATAAAAAAGATTGTCTTTTCTTAAATAAAAGATTTAAGAGTCCAATGGTAATTAAAAAAAAAATTCTTTTTTCATAATTAAGAAAAACTGACATGTCCTTGTAGAAATATAATTATATGCATGGTACCAGACTCCCATTATTTTTGATCCATTGTCCCAATTTGAAATTCCCCATAGATTAATGGGGACAAAACCAAAACATATGGTACATTATTGGCACTACTTTTTACAAGCATGATAATGACAAGAAATTATGTGGATTGGATGGATGTAACAGCCATTGAAATTTTCATGCATGAGTATTGTTCGTGAATCAGGCGTCAGCCAATAAGGGTATAGTGATATTTAAAAAGATTTCATAAAATAGTGAAATTATAATAATAATAATAAATAAGTGAAATTCTGTAAATACAAGTCTGAAAACAAACAATATTGATTGAAGTTTAAAAACCATTTTCACGTTTATTAGAGGTGTAATCAAGTTTACGCTGAGCTGGTAAACAATATTGATTAATCTCACAAGTCACAAGGATGTTAGATTTTTTAGTAAAATTAATGTGCAGAATTACATTATTTATTTTTATATTTTATTGAAATTAGGTTAAGATAATTTGAGAGATAATATTATAGTTCATACTATGATCTAATAAAATGGGATTTTAATGTTATTTGTAGGCTTAAAAGTGTAAGTCTATATAGAAAACCCTAAATCTTATGATGGATAAGATTAAAGAGATTCACTATATAAAGGAAAAGCTAGGTCCCCTCTCTTGTTTACAACGATATAACGATCTCACTCATTGGAGAGCTATAAGAAAAAGGAAGATTCTAGTGCACTAACTATCAACAATTAATCTGATCGGTATTATTTCTACCATTAAACTATGGATCAAAAATCAGGTATGTTTTGTGTGCTAAATTCCTGCTATGTTAAATCTTGGATTAGTATAAATTTATTTATACAAAAAAGTTTATCAATTGGTATTTAAGCCACCATGATTAGGATTTAGAACACTAAGAAATTATATATTTATTACATAAATCATGACTACATGTTAAGGTCTTATGTGGTACTTGAAATTTATGTAATTATATCATTAAAATACACAATTATCTTGGTATAATGCAATTAGATCTTGAGCATGCTTAATTGATTATATTATTAGCCATATGGTTGTTTGATTGAATTATATCTATACAATTGAATGAAATTGTATTTGATAAATTGGGTTTTTCAAGGATTGTGAGTTTTAACAATTTTAAGCGAAGAACAACTTGATTTTATGTAATTTTGTTAAATTACCTTGGATTTATTGTTGCTTGATGAGTTAAAATTGTTGATGAGGCTATAAGGCTTAATTAAACTTGTCGATTTCATTAAATTAGGACTGTCATGGATCTTTGGATTTGACATAAATTTATTATGTTAAGTTAAGATATTCATAAGTTTAGAAATTTAATTTTGGGTTATTAATTTTATTAATCTATTTAGGGTTTTTGTCTCCCTTAATATAAGGATTAAATTTGTATATAGATAGTAACTTGATTTGGCTTGTATTTAGAGAAATTAAAAGTTTAAAGTTTTGGATTTAAAGTGGAAACTCAATTCTTCATTTGATTAAATCCCTTAAGTTTTTATGTGTCTAAGTTCGATTTTATCTCTACAAATCACTTGTTACAAGTTATAGAGATGCATCATTTATTACAAAAAACCAGGGCTTTATCGATGAAAAATTTTTCGTCAGTAAAATCCATTGGTAATTACCGACTAAATACAAATGGAGTTATTTCCTGAGTATTATTGATGGAACTCAATCCATCAGTATTCTGTTGACAAAACCATGGGACAAAATTAATGGAGGGTATACCAAGATTATCGACCAAGAGATTTCGTCAGTAATATCATTATCGATGGAATTTGCCAACCAAAATTACTGATGGAACATCTAGTCGAAGAAGATATGAAAGTGTCGCTGGAAACTTTGTCGGTAATGCCATTGCACTTAATTAAAAAGTTAGCGACATATTTGTCAATGAAAATTCCATCGGTAGGTTTATTTTTTCCTCAGTAATTTCAAATTATTTCTCGATTGCGATTCCCCTTCCCCCCTCCCACCTTCCCTTTCTTTTTCACTCTGCACTTCTCTCCCCTTCGCACCTCCGAGCCCTTCTTGCCCATTTCTTGCTGATTGGCCATCATTTCCTCTACTTGAAGAGTCCTTGACGTCGACTACCTCCAACCCACCTCCACCGACAGCATCTCTCCTCTGATCTCCTTCAATAGCCTAGGTAAGCTTCTATCAATTGTTTAAATTCTGCCAAATTCCAAGATCATGCTACTAAATTTTATATAATTTATGAGATCTATGTTTGATAGTTTTCAATTTATTTATGCTTGAGTTGGATTACAAGTTATTTATTTGTGTTGAGTTGAAACTTGCCTGGCTATTAACTTTAAACTTTTTCGACTAAATCATAAGCAACTGAAATAAGGTCAGTGAATTTCCAATCCTAATTAGTTGTCTCTCTTATGTGCATGCTAATTGTAGTTTGAGCTTGCAGTTGAGTTAATCTACAAGACAAGTTGATTTTGTTTGTCCCTCAAACAAAAATTCATTAAAATTATGCTTTCTTTTATCTTTTAGGTAGTGTTGCAAATTGTAGTTGTCAACATATACATACACACTTAAATGCACTTACGTCCACTAAATTTCAAAAAAAGGTGCCAAAAGATAAAACCCTTTGAAATGCATTGACTAAGTTAATTAATCAGTGTTTGCACAATTAAACATACAAAGAGATAAAAAAAAACCCATTTTTTCTAGCAAAGAAGTATTAGGTTGTATTTAAAATTCTCAGCAATAGTAGAGACACTATCACATCAGAGTTTTATGGATAAACCTTTAAGGACAAAGACATAAAAGGCCTCAGTAATATTTACTTATAGAGTTGTTGACAATATATTTGTGTAGTAAGGGTATTGAGGCATAGCTAGGAATATTTTAGGGTGAGAAAGATAAAGTGATGGTGGGTGGGAGACTATAGGGACTAAGCTATAGGAGAGTGCTTCAAAGGATTTTGGCTAATCTCTCAAGTCTCAATGATTGCCATGTCCGTCGTTGCCCATTTCTTTCAAGGCATGAAAACTAGAAAACATATTCTTTGTTTGTTTTTTGCTTTTTAAAACCCTCATACAAATTCTTTTAAAAGTTTGATATTTTAAGGAGAAGAAAAAGATGTGATAAAATTAATGCATGAACAATAGTTTTACAATTTTTGAACTTTTGTGCTCCAACTCCAACTCACTTGCCTATTAGCTCTCTGTCTTTAGGTCATGAATTACATTTTTCTTGGGCTTGTTCATTTAATTGTTGATTGAGTTGTCCTATCAAAAGTAATGGTTGGAAAGAAATAAATTGTAAAAGTTCATTAGCAGCTTAACTTCCTTTCTCTTTTCCTTTGTTGGGGTGTTGATGTTTTATTATTATACATTTATCATCATTTTTCATAATAATATATATAGTTTTTTGATATAGGAATCTTTTACATGAACTGCTATAGATGTAACGGAGGCTCGTAATATATGGGAAAAGATTTCCAAGGACCGTTTCAAGGATTTATTAAGGGATGAGCGAGAGAAGGCCAAGAAGGACGGGGACAACCTCGGAGGTGACATCCTATTGACAAAAAGTAAGTCGCAACCCTAGAAAGCTGTAGAGGTATGGGACCAGTTGGTTGATAATGTATGGTCCTAGCCAAGTGGCAGGTATGTGCACACAAGGCCTAACATATAGGTAGTTCTTTGCCTTTTGCACTACAACAAAAGAGAATGATATGTGTTTTTATTATAAAACTACAATGATGTGTTTTTTGTTCTTTTTGTTTTTTTATGATTATAGTTTGAGTCCATACAAAGACAAGTGACATTCTCCAAGCTCTTCAAGCACACTCACAAATGGCGTAAAGGTATTGAAGAATTTATAGATAACAGGTCCAAGGCTATTAGTGTAAGTGATAATATATGTGTGTATATTTGATATATATGTTGCTTACCAATTAAATATCATAACAATTTTAATTACTTTTTTATAGAAATTATACATTGCGACTTTACCATAGAAGTACAATGATGTGATAACGTCTTAATCGAAGTTTGATCCTATAGCATGGGAAGAGGCAATTGGAAGGCTATTATATTCCATGGGTTTTATCTGCATAAGTCTCCTATAATTCTTTATAAATATACTCATAGATAAAGAAATACCTCATACATTATATATATAATCATAATATATTATACATGAAATATAACTAATGAATGTATTGTCATACAAGCATAAAAAAACAATTGGCTTATAGGGCTTACACTAACAATTTAATAGCCAAAATTGTCTTGGGGCTTTTATCATGTAATGGGAAGCACGGTTATTCGAATTACTTCCATATTCTCATAGATGAATGAGATTATTAAATAAGCATGATTTATTGTGTGGTTAAAAGATTAAAAAGATAGATTTTTGTGAGCATTTGTTTATGGCAAACAATATTGAGTGAAATTTAGCATTACAACTCATCAAACCAAGAATATAATGGACTACATCCATTCAGAATTGTGGAGTCCTCTTGTGGCATCAAAATGAGGATAATTGCATATGTTGGCTTTCATTTGATGATTTTCACAAAAGGTGTTGACCCATTTTATAAAGGCTGAAAGTGAAGTATTCACCACTTTTTTTTTTTTTACAATGGAAGGCATTGATTGAGAAGCAGACTTTAAAGAAGATCAAATGACTCTGAATAGACAATAGTTTGGAATTTCGCATGTGTGAGTTCAATCTATTCTGCAAGAATAAGGGAATTTTAAGACATCACATTGTCTCCCTAACATCACAACAAAAATGGTGTTACAAAGCAGATGAATAGAACACTTTTGAAGAAAACAAAATGTATAATCTTTGATCTCGGTCTATCCAAAACATTTTGGATAAAAGCTTTCAACATGGCTTGCTACTTAGTAAGTTGGTCTCTATCAACTATCATTGAATTGAAGATTCTTAAAGAAGTTTAGTTACAGAAACCTACTGACTACTTTATATTAAAAGTATTTATTTACCTTGGTTATACTCATGTGAATGATGATAAGCTTGAGCTGAGGGCGAAGAAATGCATATACCTAAACTATCCTTCAAAGATGAAGGGCTTTCAGTTATGGTGTACTAATCTAAAGTCTCCTAAGTTTATTGTGAGTTAGAATTTTACATTTAATGAGTTTGTTTTACTTCATGGGACAAAGTCTAGAATTGCAATCACATTATATCAAGAAGTTAGCAGCTAGGTGGAGCTTGAAATTAAAGCTCCATGGGATAGTGTAAGATGGTTGTGAAATCCCAAAAGGATCACAAGAATTACAAGAATCAATATCTCGTATACAACAACAAAGCGTTACTATAGACAGTCCTAAAAGGAATATAAGAACGCCTCATAAATATGATGGTTTCATAATTTAATTTGATGTTGATTTTGATCCCTATGTTTTATCTATGGTTAAAGTAGTAGAGACCAATGATTTTTACTCTTATCATGAGGCATTTAATGTACCAAGTCTTCTCAATGGCTTGTTGCCATGAATAGGGTTTTCAACAAGTACGATACTAGGTAATTTTGAGGTACCCTACCTCAAACCCTCTTAATAAATGGGGTACTCGAATCCAAAAACTACTCAATTATTTTAGGAATTTCTTATTGAATCCAAACCATAATATCCTATCCACTACCTATTAACTAACTGAACTCGTTTAAATACCTTATTATGCAAAAAAATTTATTAACCTCTTTATGGGTACCCAATTACTTGAACTTCAACCCTTATTTGCATAAGATAATAATTATATTGCAAAATTTTCATCTATACAATTCACTAGTAATTAAATTTATAAAAGTAAAAAAACATTAAAATTAAAATTTAAACAACAAATAATTTTAAAATATCTCAAATAACAACTTAAATAATCAAAACAATTAAATAAACATCCATAATCAAGTTCAGTATCAAAAGGGTGAAGCCCATAACCTTCCCAAACCCAAAATAGATACTAAACTTGCTACCTGTACTTGTTCCAAACTCGAATATAGGGTATGGGTATCATATATAATGGGGTCGGATACCTTCTAGTACCTAGTAAAAGGGTACCTATTATCTTCTTTAGCAATGAACAAGAAGATTGAGTCTCTACACAAAAATGAAACATGGGAGTTTATGAAAACACCTAAAGGCAAGAAGATCATAAGATGCAAATGAATCTCTAAGAAAAATGAAAGGATCTTAAGGGTTGAAAGTGTTAAGTTCAAAGCACGGTTGGTGGCAAGAGGCTATATACAAATAGAAAGAATTGACTACAATAAGGTATTTTCTCTTGTTGTGAAGCATAGCTTAATTTGAGTGTTACTTGTTATAATAGCCTACTTTGATGTTGAGTTGGAACAACTTGATGTCAAGACAACGTTCTTATATGGCAAGCTTAAAGAGCATAAAGGAAAGCATTCGTTGTTCCAAGTATGGAAGATTGTGTGTCTACTTAAAAGGTCATTACTTGACTTGAAATAGTCTCTTAGGCAATGTTATAAAAGGTTTGATACGTTCATGGATGTACATTGGTATATTATGAGTGTATATGATAGTTATGGCTACCTTAAGAAACTTCAAGAGGATTTGTTTATCTATTTGTTGTTGTATGTAGATGATATGTTTATCGCTGCTAAAAGTATGTCAAATATTAATGTTTTAAAAGAGTAGCTTATTGGTGAGTTTAAGGTGAAAAACTTAGGTGTTGTAAAGAAAATATTAGGTATGGAGATTATTAGGGATATACGTATGTCTAGATTATATTTGTCATAAAAAAAAGTGCATCTAAAAATATTAAAACATTTTAAGATGCAAGATGCCAAGTCCATGACAGCTTCATTAGGACTACACCTAAAACTTCCAATTGGTTATCACCTCTAACGAAGGATAAAGAGGAGTACGTAACTAGTGTTCCTTATACCAAAGTAGTGGACAACATTATGTATGCTATGGTATGCTGTAAGCTAGATATCTTACTTGCTGTTAGCATGGTAAGGAAGCATTTAATATATGAAAGAATTGTTGGTCTATTGGAGATTTTTCCTTTACATTGTGAATGTGTACTTTGGGATCAATCATAATATGAGGGGATCAATCATGCTTTCATTTTTTGCCTTAAATTTTGAATTATGTGAGAGGATGATCCATCCTTAGCATGTAGTTGAGGAACTTTTTTGCTTTTGCCTAAACTGGATAAATCTCTCAACCTTTGGGATAGATACTTGTAGCCTTAATATTAAAAAGTCTTCTCAATTTTAACGTTTTTCATTCTAGAAACATTTTTCCTATTTAGTATAACATTAAATAAATAAAAATTTTATGAAGTATTTTAAAGTTTTGATTTTTTTAAAATTTATACAGAATTATTTAAGTGATTTGGAAGAATTCAAAATATGATTTATTAGAGTAAGTTTTTATAATTATTTTTGTCATTTCAAAATAAGAAACAATTTAAAAATAAAACTAAGTATTAGTGTTCATGGTCATGTTTGTTGCACAAACATATTTATTTTTTTTATTTATTGTTAAATAATAATTTTATATAAAACACAAAATTGTTAAAATGCAAACATTACTATTTATAAGTATCCGAGCATTTTGCTCATTGGTTGGAGTATTATCTCTCTGCCTAAAAAGTAGGGTTCGAATCCCCCCTCCTCCAATTATAAAAAAAAATTACCATCTATAAATAATTGATAATTAATATTTCAATTTTTTATAATTAAAATTTTATGATATTAATTTAAAATTAATCAATATTATTACAATTATTAAAAATATTTGTATAAAATACCATTATTCAAAATAGAGGTCTATTAGTTTCCAAAATAGAGACTTTGGCTCAAAAAAATATTTGTCCCTGAATACGTAAGTTCAATCGTTAGTCAATCATTAGTATTTCTGTCAACTTGCTGACATGATAAAAGTAAAAAAAAAATTATCCTTAATTAATTTTAATAATTACTATTATATAATTTTTTTTATTTTTTATTTTTTTACTAATTAAAAAAAGGCTCCCCATTAAGGAGCACCGGTCGGTGCTCCGCTTACTTGGGGAGCTGGGGAGTATTGATCAGTGCTTTTTTTTAAATATACTAATAATTTTTTAAATTAATAAAGAAAAAAAAGATATTTTCACCTTTTTATTATTTCTGTTAATGGTGATATTTGTGTAATTTTGATTAAAACTTAAAGAAATTAGGGTATTGTACCAAAAAAATTTTAAAATAAGAATCATTCAATTCAATTATAATTTTTATTAACAAATTGGATAAATCTTATTAATATTTATAATGAAAATTTTAGATAAATTATATGTTATTAATAATAAAAAATATAATAAACAAATATGATTATTTTTATTAATAATTTTTATGTATAAGATTATAAATGTAGATATAATCATGGATTATGGAGAGGCAACGTTGATCACGATCGACGTGACCATTATATCACCGTTCCGCCGCTCACTAATTTCCTTTGGAAAACAAAAATATCACAATCTAAAATCCAACCTCCACGAAGTGCGTCACCGTCTAACCGCAGAAAAAGCGTTTGCCTTTTGCAGCGTGTCCTCATTCTACAGTCCCACGATTATTAAATGGTAAACAGAGATTTTGGAGCTGAAACGATAGCAAAGGAGAGCTTCAGCTCCTCCGCACGCTCGAAGATTCTCGGCCATGCCTTCACCATCTCCTTGCAGATGGCCATGGAACGCAGCTTCAACTAACTATTCAATTCATTTCTCTAATTTTCCTTCCAATTCCTCTATCTTCCTTTCATTTCGTTCCAAACGACGTCGGTTCGCCGCTTTGTCTTCAACCGATTCTTCTTCTGCTTCGTCAACTGATTCTATAAACAAATCCGTAAATCCACGCGTTTCCAGTTCTAAACCCAGTATCAATGCTGATTATGCTGAAAACATTGACGTTTTGGCGTCTTCGTCGAATCAGAGTTCGTCTAAGAAGCAAGAAACCCTATGTCTTATGTATCTGTTTGGGAAGCGATGCTTGTGGAGGAGGATATTGTTTGCTTCGAAGAAAGTTAGGAGCATTAT